GGACGCTTTTGGTGATCAAGGGCTCCACAATTGGCTTGGGGTGGTGGGGAGGCAGCTCCCAAAGTCGAGGCTCTCCCTATGTGAGAGAAAACCTCCAGGGCTGTGCCATGACCTAGGCTGCCTGCCACCTGTGTGTATGTGCCGTGTGTATGTGCCCATGCATGTCTGCCAAGGGCAGGAGGTATCCCCCCTCCTCTCTGAAGGGTACTCACCTGGACTCTCCAGGTCCTGGCAGCCCGGCCCCTCTGCCAACAGGTCATCTGGCAGTTGGTATCTAGCAGGTACCTGGTCCTAGGACCCCTGCCCCTCAGGCCCTTGCCTGCTCTGCTATAGTCAGGACAGGCCATCTCCGAGGCTACCATGCTCTGCTGTCCCATTGCCTGTTCTGGCTCCGTTTCCCAGAGTCAGGCCTGCCTCCTCTCCTGCCCCTCTAGTGTCCCTTCCTGTTTCAGCCACCATCTCTGTACACGCTGTGGCCCACTCCTATGTGGCCTACACCCCAGACTCCATAAATTTTGACTGCGGGGGAGGCCACATCCCTCCAAGTGGCAGGCAGTGTAGCTGTCTTGGATCAATGCATCCCCAGCAGGTACTTTCAGGGAGACATTTATTCAAGGACCTTTGCTGCTGGGGTTTTGCCCACAGACTGGACACTTGGTTTCCCAAACAAAGTGAACCTTGGGAGAGGAGCAGCCCAAGAGGGACCCCTGGCTCACCAACTCACCTCCCAGCACAGTCTTCACTGAATTCTACTTACCATATTTGAACCAGTAAGTCACACTTTGGATGAAACTGCTGCAAAGGGATTCTCCAACGTCTGAGGATCTGGGCTTACCACCGGGAGGAGGGGGGAGGCCCCAGGTGTCCTAGCTCTGCTGCTCTCAGACCCACAGGAAGCTGAGAAAGTCATTTTTGACCCATACTTTGAGTCCTGTCATCACTGCCCCTTGTCTTCAATTTGGCATAATCAACAAGTGACAGAAGTTCTGAAGTCAGCAGTGACACCCTACCAATATGTGATAAGCAACCCAGCAATCCCCAGCAGGCCTGTAAAGGAATCTGCTTTTTATTTTGAATTCCCTGAATAATAAAGTCCAAATGCTCTGTCCAACCCTGCCCAGACATGGGACCCAGGGTAGCCCAGGGGGCACAGTGACTCAAGCTGTCAGACGCAGATGGGTGCAAGAGGGCTCTAGACTCGGTGCCCCTGCTCCCCCACACAGGGCTGCACAACAGCCCAGTCCCACAGTAGCAGCTTCAGCCACACAGTGACCATGTGCATGTCCAAAGCCCCCAGAACCAAAGCCTCAGCTCTCACTCACATACCTCCCGACATTCCT